AAGACACGGAACCAACCCAAATGTCCCATCCATGATAAACTGGATAAAGAAAATGTGGTACATATACACCATGAAATACTATGCAACTATAAAAAGGAATGAGTTCATGTCCTTTGCAGGGACATGGATGAAGCTGGAAGTCATTATCCTCAGCAAACTAGCAAAGGAACAGAAAACCAAACACCGCATGTTCTCACTCATAGGTGGGAGCTGAACAATGAGAACACATGGACACAGGGAGGGGAACAATACACACCAGGGCCTGTTGGGGGGTGCTGGATGAGGGGAGGGAACTTAGAGGATAGGTCAATAGGTGCAGCAAACCACCACGGCACACATATGACTATGTAACAAACCTACATGTTCTGCACAGGTATCCTGGTTTTTTTTTTAGAATAAATTTTTTAAAAATTAAATGCAATAACATTATTTGAAGGTGTCAATGGTAGAAAAACAAAAGATGCTGTTCCAAAAATAGTTCTTTTCCCCCCCCAAAATTCATATTATTTCTTTTTTCTCTCTCTCTCCCCCCTTCCACCCTTTTTGAGCCAGAGGAGTCTTGCTCTGTCACCCAGGCTGGAGTGCAATGGCAGGATCTCGTCTCACTGCAACCTCCACCTCCCGGGTTCAAACCATTCTCAGCCTCCTGAGAAGCTGTGATTACAGGCGCATGCCACCACACCTGGCTAATTTTTGTATTTTTAGTAGCGATGGGGTTTCAGCATGTTGGCCAGGCTGGTCTTGAACTCCTGACGTCAAGTGATCTGTCCACATCAGCCTCGAAAAGTGCTGGGATTACAGGTGTTAGCCACCGTGTTACACATAGTATTTCAACTAATCTTCATGATATTCCTAAGAAGTAATTATTCTAATCCTTAGTTTGAAAATTAAAAAAAAAAAAAAGGAAGTATAGTGAGTTTAAGTCATTAGCCCAAGGTCATGCCTTCATTAAGAGGCAGAACTACAGGGCCAGATGTGGAGGCTCACACTTGTAATCCCAGCACTCTGGGAGGCTGAGGCGGGCAGATCACCCAAGGTCAGGAGTTCGAGGCCAGCCTGGCCAACGTGGTGAAACCCCATCTCTAGCCTAAAAAAA